ATCGTGATCAACGTGGGCGGCGTGCGCCATGAGACGTACCGCTCGACGCTGCGCACCCTGCCGGGGACGCGGCTGGCCGGCCTGACGGAGCCCGAGGCGGCGGCGCGCTTCGACTACGATCCGGGCTCGGACGAGTTCTTCTTCGATCGACACCCGGGCGTCTTCGCCTACGTGCTCAACTACTACCGCACCGGCAAGCTGCACTGCCCGGCCGACGTGTGCGGGCCGCTCTTCGAGGAGGAGCTCGGCTTCTGGGGCATCGACGAGACCGACGTGGAGGCCTGCTGCTGGATGACCTACCGCCAGCATCGCGACGCCGAGGAGGCGCTCGACTCCTTCGAGGCGCCCGATTCTTCGGGGGCCGCCAACGCCGGGAATGCATCGGGCGGCCACGAAGGCCTGGACGACGAGGCGGGCGCGGGCGGCGGCGGCCTGGACGGCGCGGGCGGCGAGCTCAAGCGCCTTTGCTTCCAGGACGCAGGCGGCGCCGGGGGACCACCAGGGGGCGCGGGCGGCGCGGGCGGCACGTGGTGGAGGCGCTGGCAGCCCCGAGTGTGGGCGCTCTTCGAGGACCCCTACTCATCGCGGGCCGCCAGGGTGAGCGCGCTCTTGGAGCCTCCATCTCCCCCACCCCTCCTCTCTGATGGCACCCTAGACCCTCAGGGGAACTCTATCCTAATCCTCAGCATCTCACCTCCCTCTCTCCCAACTCCCAAGTCTCCCCCCAACATCCCTCCTTGACACCCCTTAGAAACTCAGAATAGTCTCCCAACATTCATAATCTCCTAGACCTCTCCAAACCCCACGTTGCTTCTACTAGCATCCCCAGATAGTAAGAAATTTAGAAATCCCCTGGGTTTCTCTTAACTGTCCCAATCCCCTTCCAACCAACTCTAAGACCCTCTTCTGAATTCCAGTAACATCCTAGGTCACCCTTCAGACCCAAAGAGGAGTCCTCTCCAAGCCTTAGTCCCGCAAGCATCACCCAAATCCTGAGAAGACATCACTTCTCACCTCCAGAATGTCCAGGGCCTTGCCAAACCTCCCCCCCCCCCGCCTCAACTTCCCCCATGCTCTTCAGACTCTCCAAAATACCTACTGTGCTTCTCCTCTCCAAACATTTCTTTGATTTTTCCCTTGACCCTTCTCATCCTTGGCCCCGAAGACTCATCGCTATGATTTTTTTTTGTGCCACCCCGTTTTCTATCCTCAAACTCTCAGAAGATACCCCTCACTCTAAGCCAGAGTTTCCTAGTCTCTTCGGACCCCCCCCCCCAAAGTGCTTACTCTTGACAGGACATGTCCCCTCCCCCTTGATTGCAACAGAGACCTGAGGTCTTGCCCCTCTGGGTCTTATGTTTAAGCCCCTTCCTTGGTTTGCCTCCTCAGCGCCCATCCCCAAATTTCCCCTCAAACTCTGGACTTCTCTCAAGCCCTTCATAGTTCTCCCAAGTCTCTCTCTAGAAGAGCCCTGAGACCCTATACTATGCCTTTCCCCCACAGAAAACTCCACACCTCCTGCAGCCATTCCTCCTCATCCTTAGATTCTCCCCTTCTTTAAATGGCACACCCCACTTTCTGTGTCGGGCTCCCACCCAAGAACCCTTCCAGTTCCTTTCCGAGTTACTCGACTCTCTTTCCACCTCCCTTCTGCTCTTAGAACTTTATTAACCTCAAATCCTTGGGCTCCCCCTACCCCCTTCAAGTCATTATCTCAAAAACTTCCCCTCTAAAAGAACTTCCAGTACTTTCTACTCTCCCTCAGGACTTTTCCATTCCCTGCCTCCCCTCAGCCTCCCTCCCCAGCTCTTCCCCCCAAGCCTTTTCAGTCCAAAACTCGGGACTGAACCCCTTGGTCTCTTCCCCGCTAAAAAATGAAAAATATGCATCAAAGAGCTCCCACGCAGTAAAGACCCCCCCCTCCGCTCTTCCCTGCAGTCTTATCTCCCTCAAATCTCCAGGTTTTCCCCAAAGCTCCCCTCTCCACCACCCCAAAAAACTTTTTCCCTCACCAACTGCAACTTTCCAGGCTAAATTGCTATCTTCCTCCTACTTGAGCCTTCTTCCCCTAACTTCCTCTCTCAGACCCCAGAGGCAGAAACTGTTAGAAGATATAGTTTCAAACGGGGGGTAGGGGAAGAATGGTGGAGTTGGGAAGGGGAGCAGTGCAGACACCCTCTCGCTCTCCCCTTCCTGGGGTCCCTGACACCCAGAGGAGCAGGTCCCCACCCCCTCCCCCGCCGTGCCGCGTCCTGGGCCGGGGAAGGACGCCGAGCCGCAGTGCTGCAGTCGTGCTGGGGGAGGGAGCGAGGGGGAGGGGAGCCCCTGGAGCCTCCGCATAAAGTTTAGTCCTCGGGAAGCGCTGAGTTGGCGAGATTTGGGGTTGGGTGTTGGGGGAGAAGTGGGGAAGAGAGGAGATGCCGAAGGGACTTGACCCCAGATGGCCCCTAAGCGGCCCCCTCCCCCCCCCCACGGCCTGGGGCGCTCTTCCCTCCAGTGACCCCATTGAAGGGTGCTGAGGGAAGGGTGAGGGTGGAGGCAGAGTCCTGCGGTGATGGTCAGGCTAGGGATCCGGGACAGCTACACGGGGGGGTCACTCTTTTGTTTCGCAAATGTGTTCTAAGTGTCCGGCATGTCCCAAGCATTTCTAGACTCCAAGTGCTTGAGAGTTGAGAGCTGCGGAGGGGAGGGTCCAGCCCAACCCCCTGGACCCCTGGCCTTCTTACACGGAGCCCTCATACCCCTTGGCTTTTGAAGCACCTTGGAAGGGAAGGAGTTAAGCCAGACTGGTGCTGTCCAGTCTCTGCAGCTGCGCACTGCAGTGGGCGCCCACCTTCCCCCTCCCTCCTCCCAACTTCCCTGGGCCCCGGGAGGGAAGGAGTTAACCCAGCTCGTGGCCTGCGGCCTCCCGAGGCGAAGCGGCAGCACTGCGGCTGCGCACTGCCGGCTCGGCTGCGGCCCGGGAGGGGTTAAGCCGGCCCGC